AATCAACGCAGTAGAACGCTAACGATTTTCTTATTAATTAATTGATTTGTCTTTTTTAATTATGATTTATAGTTGATTTTTCAATCGAGAAATCAACACAGTAGAACGCTAACGATTTTCTTATTAATTAATTGATGATTTTTAAATTTATAAATAGGACGATATGACGATATTGAACCCGCTTCGATTTTTTAAACGAATATTGAGTGAATATAAAATGTCAAATAATAGCAATAATAAAAAAAACAATAAAAAAAATAACAAACAAAAGCAACAGAGGTTTCAAGAATAAACACCTGACTAAGGATCTAATCTTCAACTTGTAAGAACGGAAGTAGAAAGTAATCCGAATGAGACGAGTGACAAGACCAATAAGTCGACTAGCAAATCGTCACCCACCAAGTCAAACAAACAAAAGCAGCAAAGGTTTCAAGAAGAAACACCGAGCGAAGGATCTAATCGTCAACGGGGAAGAGCGGAAGAAGAAAGTGATCTGAATGAGACGAGTGACAAAACCAATAAGTCGACTAGCAAATCGTCACTCACTAAGTCAAACAAACAAAAGCAGCAAAGGTTTTAAGAAGAAACACCTGACGAAGAATCTAATCGTCAATGGGGAAGAACAGAAGAAGAAAGTAATCTGAATGATACGATTGACAAAACCAATAAGTCGACTAGAAAATCGTAACCCATTAAGTCAATCCTCAAATCTGCAAAGTCGACTAAGCCGACTCAAGAAGAGTCTGACGATGAGGTTATTGAAATTGAACCGCCAAATATTCCTAAAGGTAATTGAATTTTGGAAAATTGCTGATTGACATGTACGATAATTAATAATTTTTATAGATCAACAAGAGATGTTATCGGAAATGAAAAAATGATATGGGAATATTTGAATTCCACAAAAATTCGTATTAGTGGTTAAAAACGATCAAGGTAATGAAAGGATGATCGATGATGACGATACTGATTTAGAAGCAGTTACGATTTTGACTTCATTCGTATAAATTCAGAATTATTCGTAAAAAAATATTACTATTAATAAAATTCTTTATTTAGAAAATCTAAAATTAAAGAAACAAATTGAAGAAGTACAAGTAGAGAATGCAAAGCTTCAACGCGAAAATAACCGATTATTCGATGAAAATCATTTTTTGACTCGAATAAACAAGGCCTTTGCAGACAAGAATGACGATCTATGCGAAAGCTTAAACAGGTATTCGAAAATCCATCTGCCTAAAGCCATTCATAGGCAGACGGATCTCGAACAGCCGGCAAAATGTCCAAAAAGAATTAAGACAAAAAAGTCTGAGCGATACGAGGAAGAATCGGAGGAAGAACGGTCTGATTCTAACAATAATGATGAGTACGACGAAAAAGAAGCTAAGGTATATTAATTTTATTTGTCTGATTCAGTTATTTAAAATTGCAGTATTGAGTAATTAAGTACCGGTTATCATTATTTGATTGTTATATTTAGGCTGAAATGAAGTCTATTTTGAAAACCATCTATGAAACTCGAGGACTAGATTACAATGAAACGTTCAATAGCGCGAAAAATCTCAAGATTCGTCGTAAGCTAGTCCCTGAATTGCGTTCAGCCCTTTCTCCGTGTTTTTCCGCTTTGAATAAGCAACTTACAAAATGGTTGGGTTATCTCCACAAGTCTCGTCATTCTCATCAAAGATTAATGGATAGGGGAAAAGCCGATGAAAATAAACACTGGGTGCACTCAAACAATCGAGTACACGACGTTAGTAATGATTTATAATTATTATGCTGAATTTTATTCCGATTATATATTGAATTTTATTCAAATTATAACGTATTTTAGAAGAAAATCTGCCGAATGAAGACGGCAAAGAGATTATATAGTTTTGACGATGAACAGACAACAAAATATGATAAGCGTAGATTACTAAAGATGTTATCCAATCGCTTATTTCATTCTCCAAAAATAAGCGAGACAGACGAAGAAGACCCAACAAAGTCCATAATCGCTATTTACGACTATTTGTGGAGATCTGATGAGGTTAGAACTTCTGAATCTTGATTTTTCAGACAAATCACTGGATTTAATTTTTATATTTTATTGTTTCTTCAGCTTAAAAATTTGCTATGAAATGTACTCGATGTACACTCGTCAAATAAGTCAAAATTAATACGCGAACGTAGATACGATGATGAGGTACAAAAATACGACCGACCACATCCATCGAATGCTCCCGAATGGTCTTATATCGTACAACAACAAGATTTAATATTCGATACTGATATCGATCAGGGTTTAATCACTGAATATGATGAAGAAGAAGAAGAAGTTAGTAGAGGGACAACACCAGCAACTGGCAACACCACTGAAAATGATGAAGACCATAACAAGGAAGGAGAAGAAAAACCATCAAAATCAACGGTTGGTGACAATCATAATAATTCAGATTCTGATTTACATATGGACGACGCACAATGAACGAATCTGAATTAATTTGGTAGAAAACTTTCTTTTTTTCGTCAAAAATCTATATATGGGTTTTGTGCTAGGAAAATAAGGGTTAGAGATATTTTTTACCAAAATTGAGATTTTTTGTGCATCTGAATCTGAGACATATGAGAATCATTTGGTGCAAATTTTATAGCATATTATCTTATTATCAAAATTAATAAATCGAAGTTTAAAAATCATCAATTTTTTGTGTAACAATCAGCCATAAAATCTAAAAATAGATTTGGAAATGATCGACATACATTTTTTTGAAAAATCGAAGTACCGTAATTCATTACCTATCGATCATACAAAGACAGATAATAGCTTATTAGACTTATCTCATCATAATACATCTAATATTAATCAATTCAGCATTGATAGGTAGTTATTTCAATTGATCAATAGGTAGTAAATTAATTTTTTAAGGAATTTATAACTTTAAATTAGTAATTTCTTTTTTTATTTAAGAAAAATAATAAAAAATACAAATATATCAAAGATAATAAACATCTTTGTATGGATCTTCTATAATTTGACGAATTTTTTGATATAAATATTTTTTTCTTTCTTCAGATATATGCATAACATCCAAAATATCTAATTTTTCATTTATATTAAAATTATTATCATCACGTAAAAGCTTATGGCAAATTTCAACACCACCAGAATTTTCAGAACAATAAACTTTTTCTAAATCTTCTGATAAATTACTAAAACGAAAATGATTATATTTTGTTATATGGTGTAAATTTATAAAATTATTTTTTGAAAAAAAATTTTGATAATCAAACCACTTCCATCCAATTCCACCATTATACCTAAGTCCTTCATTACCTTTTGATGAATTATTTACAATATCTTCAATATCATCTACAGTATTAACTTTTTGATTTCGATAAGTTTTTTTTATATGTCCAAAAAATGAATCACAAATGAATTTTGTATGACCTGGTATCATAAAGTTAATTGTTATATTATTATACCAACCTAACATACTCAACCAAGACCAAAAAAAAAGTGATAAATTGTTTTTATTTTGTGCGATACAATTATCACATGTAATATGTAAATCTTTTTTTCCATCTTTAGCAAATGTTTTAATTGCTTGATAAACCATATTTAATGTTGTATTAGCCCCTTTTGACATACCTTTAGGAAATTCATCTTCCGTAATAACAAAATTTATTTGTCTATTTTCTCCACCTTCGGTTTTGCAAACACCAAATAAATGAACAGCATAGGCTGTTTTAAAAAAAATTGATCCAACTTGCTGTGGTGAATATGGAATTGATACATTTTGTGCCCAATCATAACAAATATGTGCTATAGATAAATCCTGTTTGCTTTTTTCGATATTATCATTATAATGTTTTCGTTCAAGATCTGCTGCTTTATGGTGTTCTTCATATTGATCTTTTATAATATTGTATTTATCAATATCACTTTTCGCTGCTTGCATTTTTGCTTTGAATTCTACACACTTTTCACAAAGATCAGATGCAGAAGGTTGGAATTTGAGATTAGGTATTAATTCGTGCCAAAGTCTACGAAATGTAGAATAAGAAATGATAGTTTCACTTTCATCATGTTCAAGATAAAAATCTTCTTTGTATTTCTTATATATTGAAGTATAATTTTCACCAGTTGGAAGATATATAAAATTTCCAGAATCATTACGATGTCTCATAGGAGATGGTAAACCATAAATAGTTCCATATTGTACTAAATATTCTTTAACAGAAGATGTTATATTGAAATCAACAAAGACTTTAGAATTTCGCCTTGAAACACGTCCAGTATTGCCATGAGTATGCTCAATTAATCCATTTTCTTGAAGATGAGTTTGTAAAGTTAAAAGTTTATAATCATTTAAATTGCATAATTTCATATAGGCAGGTTTACAAAGTGGTAAAGATATATTAAAGCTATATCGTTATGAATGACGTGATTTTTTATCTTTTTCGTTTTTTTCATCTTTTTCATTTGAAATTTCAAAGACCATTAATTGGCTTTTTATATGAAGTTCAAATTCATGTTTTTCTAATGCTTTTAATTCCAAGTGTCTTTCAAAAAAATGCTTAAATCCTACTTTTTCAAAACAGGTTCTTAGATCTTTTTTATTAGAAGAATTTCGGCAAGTACAGTTTGTATAATCTTTAAAAAATGTTATTAAATCATGTACCACATCAAGTACCATTTCATTTTCCTTATATTCTTCTAATCCTAACTCGATAAAATTATAAACAGGCGTTGCGGAACTCATTGAAATTGTGATAAATTTTATTAAAAAAGAAACCAAAAAAATTTCGTTAAAAAATAAAAAATATCTGTAAAATAAATATTTTTATTAAAATAAACTCTAAAAGTAAAAGTAAAAACAAAAAAATAAAAAAAAAGTAATCCTTTTTATTAAAAAAAATAGAAAGAGCTTAAAAAAGAAAGAATTTCCATAAGGATTCGGAGTATTATGCTTCATAAAGTATTTCCTTTCCTTTTTCACGGGCTGTTTCATGAGATAAACAAATTTTCATTAAAATAAACCCCCCCAAAAAATAAAAAGTAATGATGTTTTATTATACGGAATATTATACTCCCATAAGTAAAGATGTACCTGTATTTCTTTCCTCTTTTTATAAAAAACTTCTGAAGTGGAACGCCAGCACCGTTCCCACAATAACCTATTCTGGAAAGTTTAGACTTTTAGAGGTCCAGCCTATAAAAAAAGTAGAATGTTAGTACCATTTCTATAATAAAAAAAAAAACAAAAAAAAAAAAAAAAAAATACCGTTCCAATAAAAAA